GGTCATATGAGCGCGCGGGACACACCTAATATTTTCAGTTGGTAGGAAATTTTTAATTTTGCCCGGGTGGCGGCCGAAGCCTACTCTTATCGATTTTAGATCACCAAGGGATCTTTAACGTGCGCAACTTGTACACAGGCCCTCCGAGATTTTTCGCCCTTGTTCGAGAAGGCTAGTGTAGTTCTTTCCTACGAGAAGATCAGAGGTGTGGCAGAAAGACAGCAGTAAGGAGGAGCCAAGCAGTAGCAGTAGGAAGGCTGCAGAAAGAGTCAGGAGCCCAGAGGAGGGGGCAAAGGAGGGGAGGGGGTGGAGGCAGAAAGTGGAGACGAAAGCAGACGACAGAACATTGATAGAGAGTAGGAAAGGAGGTGAAAGGAGACAATTTTAGAGAAGAATTTTTTTTCGGTCGCTACCCGGATTCGAACCCGGGACCTTTGATTGAGAGACCAACACCTTAACCTCTAGGCCACGAGAGCCCCATCCTTCACGTAGTTTGACCTACTTCAACAAGCACACTGACGCCAAGTGTCAGCTCTCAACTCCATTAGCGTCTCGCGATTTTCGAGGAGGAAGGCGACAAAATGTTGAATTTGCTCTAAAACTCGGGGGAGGAGGAACACCTATAGGAGTTTAGTTTTAGTAAAAGTTTTACGGCACTTGGTACAAAATAAGGTTATATAAGGGCCGAAGAATAGATGTGTTACAAGAGAGTAACATATACAAAATAGAAGGAGGAGAGGTAAGGACGACAGATGTTCGATGGCAAAGAAGAAGCAAATCACCCGCCAACCCTATAGGAGTGCTGTTTTGACTCGAGTATAATACTGACATCGCTTAGAGCACTCCGCGGGTTACGTTGAGCTATCATCGGTGAATCCATTTTCTTAGAATTTAACATTTCGTACGCTTCAGCGAAGCCTTGAATACTGTGTAAAAAGACGTGGTATGGTTTAAACGCCCTTGTTGACAGTTTGAGGCAGTTGGTGGTTGACGGGTTTCTGAATATTTATCTGTTCTATACAAATGTATGTTTCTGCATGTATATCTGTACAAATGTATGTTTCTGTATGTATATATATGTACAAATGTATGTTTCTGTATGTATGTCCCTACAAATGTCTGTTTCTGTATGTCTGTCTGTACAAATGTATGTTTCTGTATATATGTCCGTACAAATGTCTGTTTCTGTATGTACGTCCGTACAAACGTCTGTCCCTAGCACTTATCCATTAGCCAGCCTTGCCTTGCCCCCTTTCTCCTGTCTCCTTTCTCCAGGATAATGCCTCTCGTCCTGTTCCCTCTCCCTCTATTCCCGTGGCGCGTCGACGAAAAGGTCCAGAAAAAGCCCTTCTGTCGCAGTTTGGATTTCCTCTCTGCAACATTAGCTAATCGCCCTGTCTCGGCGCTCCGCGGGGCCCCAACCAGCAGCTAAGCTACTCCCAAAATAACTCCTTTAGATGCTGATGTCTTCACTCCTCTGAAGTTCTTTGCCCCGTCCTTTGCTCTGATGGCGGGGACGCGCATGCGTAGATTACTGTAGGCAACAAACTGCGGTTTTTCCCAAAGGCACAGATGTCAATACAATAGGTGTGACAATAATATTATGTCAACAATCATAATAAAATTATTTATGCAATCGGTCACACAGGAGCACAATATATAATATACACCCAGACAGAAACAGCACGAATTGACATCTTCATCTGCTCATACACACAGACATGCAGGAGCACACACACACACACACACACACACACACACACACACG